CTTGTGGTTTTTAACAAGAAGTCCAAAATATCACTTTTTACCAAAAATTACAAAAATATTCACCAAAATTAGAGAATTGAAGATATCATCACGAAATGAACAAATCTGAGAGAGGTCCACATGTAGTACCTATATATGTAGTATCAAAGCAATTGGACTTGCGGTTTTTAACAAGAAGTCGAAAATATCACTTTTTACCAAAAATGACAAAAATATTCACCAAAATTAGAGAATTAAAGATATCATTACAAAATGAACAAATCTGAGAGAGGTCCACATGTAGTACCTATATATGTAATATCAAAGCAATTGCACTTGCGGTTTTTAACAAGAAGTCGAAAATATCACTTTTTACCAAAAATGACAAAAATATTCACCAAAATTAGAGAATTGAAGATATCAACATGAAATGAACAAACCTAAGAGAGGTCTACCCAAGGTACATATACACCAAGTATCAAAGCATTCAGGCTTGTAGTTTTCAAGAAGAAGTCGAAAAAGTAAAACATTGACACGGACGACGGACGACGACGGACAATCACTCATATGATAAGCTCCGCTCGACAAAGTCGACAGCGGAGCTAAAAACACACATTAAATTAATAACTGTTATTTTACCTTCTCAGCAAATGTAAAAATCTTGCGCTGATCAACTCCTCCAAACTGGCAGTCTACCTTGAGGTACTCTTCATCCAGCGCTTGTAACCCTGGATACAGCAATCCACTTAGCAACGGATGATCCACTTGCTTAACAACCTCAGCACCTGCTTTCTTGGCATCATGCTGAAAAGGCAGCAATTTAGTTTTGTGTATTTATTATAAACAGTAATATTTTTACTGGGACTGAATAGCATGAAAGTTGCCGTGATTTCTGCCTTTAGAAAGCCAATGAACATGTCACTGTTACAATATTACTTGAAGTTCATTTCTCTTGAAACTAATCTATGTTGCTAAGGCAACGACCACTGTACCATGTATTTCAATGGGCTCAGCCTGTGCTGCTGTGGAACGCCAGTTGAAGAGCCAACAGCTGAAGTAGAGAAAATAGCACACACTCAACTATGTGATAATCTTGAACAACCAAATTTACATAGGTTACACTTGTAAGGGTAATCATGTTATACTGTTATACTCAAGGAGAGTCTCAACAACTAGCTAAAGTACAATTTCGTTATGAGTTCCCATCCGTTGTTTTTATCGCATGCGGTTGTCAGACGGTGAAAAAACTCTGATGTTCGTTCTCCAGAATAATGTACAATCCACAATTCTTTTTTTAGAACTCACCTGTGTGACTAATGATGTCAATCTGTATACATCTAAGGTGTACTCTCTACAATATATAAAAATAAATAAATAAATATATCAATACGATGAAAATTCATTCCTGGAGTGTTATTTATGATTTGTTTAGTATTAAGTCTTATTTACACATGATAGGCATGGCTGGTATATAGTTTATATAATCCTATACAATTGACAGTTTTAGCTGGATGAAATAAATTACCGTAAAATCTGCATTAAAAGCTGCATCCTTAATAAAAGTCGCACCCATTCATTTTGAACAATTGAGAAGCAAAAATTCATCATTTCTCGTATGTGTAGATGCTCTAATAGAAACCACACTCCTCTGTTGCATTGTACCATTTTAATAGAAACCAAGGCTTCTAATACAAATTTTACAGTACATATATTGGCCTTGATCTAGTCTGGTTCAATCATGTTGAATAAAGCCCACTGAATATACAACAACAAATCATTCACAATGCAGAAATTATTATTAATTATTATAGAAAACAAAGAGTATGCTGTGTAAGAATGCTTGCAGGCACTATAGCTTCACACTAAAACCACTCTATTTTTGCTCAAGTCAAATATTTCAATTTTATGCCAATGAAAACATTTTTATCTTCATGAAAACTCACAATTTAACAATTGGCGAACATTTATAGCAACACAAATTTAAACACTGAAAACTTATACTGCAAAATGCCTAATTTTAACTGCTAGAAATTTTTTACGATTTGATGACAAAATTTATGAAAATTAGTTTCTTTGAAATTAGTTTACAGTAGCTATAATCACCTAGAAAGCTCAAATTCTGTGCCACGAATAAACTTGAGTTTTTCCAATGGCACTCCGATGGATTCCAGCATTCCCTTGATGGCAGCTTCGTAGTACTGCGTTCTCAATGCCAGTAATTCCCACGGTGCTTTCATGTTATCTAGGTATGCATGGAGGTCAGCAAACAGAATCGTCACCTACACAAGTGAAAAACACTCAAACTAAGAAAACAATTTTCTCAAAATTTACTCCTGAGTTGCGTTCTTTTATTCTTCAGTATAAAGTGACTTGGTAAGAGAAAATAAATATACATGTACTTGTAAATTATGCAAATTTTCATGAAATGTCTGAAAAATATCAACAACGTAATTTAGTTTTCTTCCAGCATAGTTTTAAAATGACATCAAAGAGAAAAAAGTCATGTGATTAATTATTCTTAAAGTTGATTCAAACAAACAATAATTATCAAAATGATAGGAAGCAAAATGATGTTTAAAACTCTTTTTGTTGGACTTACAGTGAAAGGCACAAAATTGTGCTTATAAACGTATATATATATATAAATCTATAAATTTATTCAAATTCTAATATTCAATAGCGATTGGCTGAAACATCGTCTACGATCATAATGTATGAGCATGCTTTCCCATTACATAGCAACTGCCACTGCCCACATATTTAAAATGAGGTGCTTGCTGATTGGTTAATATTGAACTATCTCATTAATATTAACTAGAACTAACATTAAAGGCACAATACTATTGCCGGATTGGTCAATTTTAATTCTAACATTTATTTTGAATTATAAAAACGTATATTTATAAAAACTTTATATTGACCAAAGCTTTATGTCTTTACTGGACTCAATTACCGTAAGATGCGAACTTGGTTTTGACATCATCAGGGTTTGATTTCCCAAATGTTCATTTTACGTTTAAACATTTTTCAGACATTATTTCCCACTGACTACAGATCTTGATTTAAATTTGTGAAAAAAAAAAAAATACCAAAAATATTTTTTAATCTGACAAAAGATGACACTTACATGACAATCAGCTCTGAGAAAATCAGCAATTTTACTCATTGGCACAAAATATGCTACATGAGGTTTTCCCGTTGTGGCAGTCCCCCAGTAGATATTGATGTCTTTTCCATCTTTCAGCATCTGCAGAAGACGATCATCGCCGAGAACTTCCTGAAAGGTGAGAAAATGTAAAGAAACAATTCACTGACAGGAAACAAAACCAGTCAGATATTAGAATCACAAATTACATGATGTATACCATATATATATATAAAGTTGATTGATTTCATCTGGTTCCAGGATGGTGGAAATTGATTCTGATGCACAAAAATGGCCGCCATACAGCCATTTTGAATTTGATTGAAAAGCATGTGCATACGAAAGACATGACGTATTTGTGAAGTCTGAACATGATTGGTCAAGGCATGTCAGAGATGTTCATCTTGAAACAGATTTGTTATAAAACAAAATGGCCACCTGTCTGCCATATCAAATCTAATAAAAAAAAATAATATTTACCAAGGCAATGTTTGTACCAAGTTTGAATAAAACTTGTTTATGCACAACCAAGATCTTGGTTCTGAGAATATATTGTGTGGGGAACAATTGTCAGTAAAGATTCTGACTAAATTGTTGGACTGGCCAGTAAATATTTATTTGGGTCACCAACATTTTTTGTGATGTCAGTAGCACCAGTCAGTAGCAAAAAATGCAAATTTCCAAGACTGTTAAGAAGCATACTTCATTGATCTAGTACAACATATCAATCATAGAAATTGAAACACAACACGCTACCTGTAAGTTCCTGGTGATCAAATGATGTCTCTTTTTCGCTTCATCTTCACTTGTTGCCATGGTATCTGCAACAAGATGTTTACAGATGGTATATATATATTGCAAGTTTCATATATTGGCATACTGTTTGCTTTATTAGCAAACATTAAAGAAATGTTGTACATTATTACGTGAATTATATGTGAAATTAGTAAATGCTTAAAAGGCAGTGGTCGTCATGTCGCGTCCTGTTCGATACGAGACTCATAGCGATGTATAAAACATGTGTAAAATACATTGTTTGTTTACATGAACATGCGACGACCACCGCGCTTTAATGGTAATATTTTTGTTTCTGTCTTAATTAGCAAACATTAAAGAAATGGTGTATATTATTACGTAGATTATATGTGAAATTAGTAAATGCTTAAAGGGCAGTGGTCGTCGTGTCGCGTCCTGTTCGATATGAGACTCATAGCGATGTATAAAACATGTGTAAAATACATTGTTTGTTTACATGAACATGCGACGACCACCGCGCTTTAATGGTAATATTTTTCTGTCTGTCATAAGTATTTTCCCCAAGTTAAATAAGACATAAAGACTTTTCAGTGTACCCCACCCCTCACACGAACTCTAACCCAAAGCTTCAAGCCCCAGTTTTATAGGTGTCCTCAAAAGGGGTATACACAATTAATTTGAGGGGGGGAGTCAGAGGGTTAGGTTAGAGGTGGGGTACATTGGAAAGTCTTTCCATAAAAGCAATTCATATTATCAAAAGTGCCTACAGCCAAGCATAATACAGATGACTAATGGCTAGCTAATTAACCATTAGACACTTTGTGTCCATATGCCAAAACTGTCACTCACGGCACATATTAATTAAATTATGTCCATTAAATATAAATACTTACTTACAAGCAGATCTGAATTATTGGACAAAAACTATCAGAAATATTAGTTGTTTGAGTCGGTCGATGAAATGAGAATGGACGGTACTGTTCGAGACAGTTGGTACTCCTTCTTGGAAACACGTTTACCAATGTATTACATCAGATGGGAAAAATACACCCTAAGCTGGGTGAGATTAAACTACACATGGCCATGTCGAATGCATTGTTTGGATTTATAGTTTATATTAAAGTAAGCAATTCATCTTTATACTAAAATTCAATAATATTAATATTATAGACAGAATATTTAGGGCTACGATCGAAAATATCGGAAGTTACAATACAACGAAAGGCAGTCATACTAACGATACAGCCTGATTCAATTAGATGATTTCGGCAGTACTTCGAGCTTTATTTGCGACATCGTTTTGTTTATATTTCAATGAATTTGTAAAAAAAAAAAATATACGCAGTTACAATATTGTGGATACCAAACAGAAATTATACATATTTCGTTATACAGGCGTTTCCTGTATTTACTCATACGAGAACACGAGGAATGACCGATATACCGTAAAATGGTACGATATGTCACGTGTTGCTTGACCTTTAAACCAGAAAAGCTCACCTCGGTTCGTTGTTGTGAATATTCTGTCACTGACCGGCTTTTGTGCCTGCATTGCCGCTAAACGAAGGTATGTATTGCAAAAATATTGTACCGTACTGTGAGGTGAACTCGGGAAGACAACGTCATTTTAACGGCAAGTTAAAATAGAAAGAAAAAGTGTTTTCAGGTTGAATGTATTTCTCTGACTCAAGTTGAAAAAAAATGGTCATGTTCACTTGATAATGCAGAGACATCGTCAATGATTTTGCAGTTAATTACTAATGTTTAAAGTGCCAAGCCTAGCGTCGTACTTAGCGCATTTTCAGGGCTTCTCGTATTAAAAAAACAAAACAGAAAACACTGGATACTATATAACAGTTTACTGCAGTTGTAAACATTCATTGCACACTGAGCAATGTACATCATGTATCAATTGACCCCATGTCGTGTCAGATATTAAACAACAGTACAAACACCGTGGACATGGCGAGGATGTGTTCACAGTACCTTTGATGTGATGTACCATGGACCATGGAACTGGGGTTTATAGTTCCATGCATGGACGTACTAACATGGATGTACATAAACGAAAATTTAACAAGCAACACATTTTACGTAGACCCAAGTTTCTGAAAAAAAGTCACCAATAAGTAACAAAGGTTACTATTGTACCATTGTACTACTGTGGAATACTTTATTTTCACTGTAATTAATTTTCGCTGAAAAGGCTTTTTGGGTGTTTTGTGTGGAATTTATTTTCACTGATTTTTGATGAGTTTAATGTAAAAGTATATTCGCTGGATTTTATTTTCATGGAAACATCCCTTCAGAGCGAAAATAGCGAAAATATATTCCAAGCGAAAATAAAGTATTCTACAGTATTTGATTTATGAAGTGTATTTCATCCCATTTGCATACAAACTGATGATTAATTACTGTAAAATGACTGGGTTTAAATTTATCATTTCAGGCATATTCAGTGGGTTTTAAATTCACGGTTTTATCATTTAGATAATGTGTTCTATGCTAAATTTTATATATTCACTGGGTTGTAATTTACCACATTTTCCAGTCAGCAAAATAAGCAAAAGTAAAACCCAGTGAATAATTGACCCCTTTACAGTAACTTTATAATACCATGTGCCAGATATGAAAAAATATGGCATGTTCTGATTAAGAGATCAGTATCAAGTGCAGCCTGGTTATCAGCTGATAACTTGATCTTCACCTTGAGGGCATTCATAAGGACTACATTTTGAGAGGGTTACCATGCCGTCTTAATGATCCAAAATGATATATTGACTGCTACAAAATTTGTTCATGATTTACAGCATGTTTCTGAATTATTTAAATAAGTAAAAAACTGAATTTTAAACCACTTTTATGGGTTTTCACAGGACTGAAGGGTTCGCAAAATTGTCTGTGTTGGTCAAATCTGCTCAATCAAACCTAAGTAGTTGGCAAATTACTGTGCAAGATTGCTAACTGCCTCAATACTTTCTGAGACTTGCTGTAAAACATCACCCATCTGCAGAAGCCTCCATGGGTAGCTGAAATTAAGGATGTACATGACATTCGTTGGACAAAGCAGAAACAAAATAATACTGATTTATGACTTACAATTAAAGCGGTAGGGTCGTTACCTGTGCACATGCGGGAATTGAGTCCCAAGCAACGATAACAGCAACGCAAAGACTCATGGAAGACGCTTGTTTGTAAACAATGACATGCTATGGCCATCTGACGCATGCGCTGGTGACAACTCCCCCACTTTAATACATGTTATTGTAGCCTTTGCAACACTCTATCCAAAAACTATAACACTGATGTCAACATTAATTACGTCATGCGACTGCTAAATAAACAAAATTTTTACTTTTTGACGTGAACAGCTCAAGACATTAAATAAGTTCACAGTATTTTAGATCACTTTAATTTAGCGGGTCAGTGAGAATCACAAAAATTTTTAGAGGTAAAAATTTTCCGGGGGTACTACAACATTGAGTGAATTTCGCTAAATTTTGTCATCAGGAATGCCGTACAATCCTGAAATTGTGAAAAATGTTAGCAGTGAAAATTAAGTGATTTACAGTATTTATATACCGGTATATATCATACTATGAAGTTATTACGAAGATACCTCAAAGTATGCTGGAAGACAGTACAGCGGCAGTATCGACCAACGTGCAGCGGAGGTCAATGTTACAGCGTACTGTCTGAGTGCATACTTTGAGGTATCTTCGTAATAACCTTATTATTATACATCTTTTCCTACCAAGGATACATCATGGGAATGCCAAAATCTAAAAAGTTTAGAACAGAATCAGTGAACTTCTTTGTATGAAGTCCGGTTAAATTCTGGTGGCAGCCATGTTTGTTTTTATTATTAGAGGACACTTACACGTGCAATAACTCCATATTTGAATTTGCATTTCCTAATATGGTAGGATGAAAATACCCCGTAAAATACCGCAAAATTACGGCACGCTGTAACTTATGGCGTTACGGTGACAGATGTATAATAATGTAAAATACTTTTCTGTAGCTGGAGTTATTTTTCGCTGAAAATCTATTTTGGGTGTTTTGTGTGGAATATATTTTCACTGATTTTTGAAATGTAGAAAAAAAGGTATATTCGTTGGTTATATTTTCTCTGAATCATTCCTTCAGCAAAAATAAAGTATTTTACAGTGCATTATTTCATGCATAACAATAGCAACTTGTGTGTTTTTGCATTCTTTAATAAAAATGCACGTCCCATAATCCTGTGCATTGTAGTTTGTTGAAGAGAATGTTACACTGTGACTTTTTTGACTTCCTAAACTACAACAAATTTACCAATAATGAACAAAAAAATGTTTATGGTAATTTTGATTCTGTTATTTGACCTTTATCACTTTACAGTTTGATTTACATCTGGTTGTAAAAAATATTCACAAAATGATATCAATCCATGAAATAATAATCAAAGGTATGATTTAGGTAACATTTTTTGAAATCCTTAGGAATCTTTAAAAGGTTCACACAAGTAAGATTTTGCAGCTCAAAAATGTGTTGTTTTTTTTTGTTTTTTTTGTTTGTTTTTTTAAGTTTTACTACTAATTTTTCATCAGTATAATTTACCATTGGTAAATTGTAAAAAAAACAGCAATTTGTATGCACTGATTGCAAGAATGTTTAAAAATAATGTTCGATGTCACCATTATATGCATAGCTTCCATTTGTAACGTAATGGTCAAATACCGTACCTGCTCTGAAAATTTGATTTCCCACTACAAAAAAATATTGTGAAGCATCAGCCTCTACATAAGATAGGCAAAAAATTATGACAATTTATTTTTAAATAATGAGTGTGCATCGCCCAAGGACAACAAGATGTGTTTTTCAATTTTGTTTGGACGACCATCTGCTTAGGACTAAAAGCTTATTAACAGTAAAATCTAATATTATTAAATAAAAATACACTTTATTCATGGTCTAGATACCCTCATCTTCCAATCAGTCATGGAGATTTGTCATAAAACTATAAACATTGCTGTATGCAATACCGTAATCCTTCTATAAATAGACTTTCTGCTTAGTGCTATGACACTAATTTGTTATTTTTCTCAATCACCTGGTTGGAAGTGGCAGTAATCAAATGCTCTCAACCTATCATATTAATAATAGTGTTGGTAAAAAAATAAAAAAAGTTTTGTTTCTTGATTTTCCATGTTTCAGACTTTTTCTGATTGAAAATATATACCAACAATTTCATCTTTATTTCTACAATCAAATTTGACTTTATTTCTAATGGTTTTCACCGATAAAAACACATATTAGATCAAAGTCCAACTAAAGAACTTTAAACTTTTATTTATTTTATTTAAATCATGTACAGCTTAGTTAATAAGCTAGTAACTAAATAAACTACTGTTAAAACATTTATTTTCACTGACATTTAATTTCACTTTTTTGATGTTTTGAGCATATTTACTGTGTTTTAATTTCACAAATTTGTTAAGGAACCAATCAGTTTTAGGGACGGCGTCAAAAGATCGATTTAATTTAGTCAATTTCACTTATCAGCGAAAATAGCAAAATTAAAAATTATTAATAATACTGTACATGTTAGCATATGTTGATTTCATCCTAATAAATGTACAGTCTGGGTCACACTCACCCAGATCGTGCCTGCTTATTTCTTAGTAGATTTACCAGTAAATATGGCGTGATCCTATTGCATTGTCTCTTTTTATTTACATGTAGACGACCTTTGATCTTTTGACCTCTGACACAGAACTAGACAACCTAACAGCAATGTTGCTTGGAATTTTGAGGACTGCTTGGTTCTTGTTGTGTCTGCTCGTGTTCGGCTACACTTTCATTGTCAGCGGTATAATCATTAATTTGTTGCAATGTTGTTCACTCGTTATCTGGCCGTTCAGCAGGAAGATATATCGAATCATCAACTGCAAGCTGGCGTATTATCACTGGTGTCGTAAGTAAACTGCAGAAAATTCTTGATTTTCTTATGACGTGTAAATCCATTTCTTTAGATATTTAACTTTTTCATTCATGAAAACTCAAATCCACTTTTCTCACTAAATTTTGGTTTTTTCATATTTTATTTAAAATTCTTATCAAACCCTGTAGGCAGTTATGGCAAACACTAAACGTTCAAATTAGAAGAAACAAAATATTTCGGCTATAATTTGGCTAAGAAAACATGATATGCAGATTGTTGTAAGTTCCAATTTTGTGTAAATAAATAGTATATGACAAGTGTATAAAAAACCCACCCATTAATCTGAATTCAATAGTTGTATAAGGATTTCAGCAAAATACAATTGACACATAATGTGAAGAAGCCATCTTACAAGGCCGAAATGAAAAAAATACATTTTTCTTTTTTTCATACTTTCTTTACATTCAATTTTAAGTTCTGATTCAAAATGGTTGACATTGTTCAGATTTTGTTTGCAATGTATTAATTAATACATGTCATGTTGAATACAGTACTTGTTCAATGTGGATTTATTTATTTATTTATTTATTTACATGTGTATTTATCTATTTATCTATTTATCTATTTATTTATTTATTTATTTATTTATTTATTTATTTATTTATTTATTTATTTATTTATTTATTTATTTATTTATTTATTTATTTATCTATTTATTTATCTATTTATTTATTTATTTATCTATTTATTTATTTATTTATTCATTTATTTATCTATTTATTTATTTATTTATTCATTTATTTATTTATTACAAACAATCAATTATATTTTTCTTTGCAAAGAATTGGTATTTATAGGGAATTGGTGGTCAGGCTCTGAAATCGTTCTATACAGCGAGACGAAAGATCATCATATGTGGGGCCATGAGTCGTCCCTCATCATATTAAACCATCACGACGAGATTGATTGGCTGTTTGGCTGGATTTTATGTTTTCACTATAATGTGCTTGGTGTAAGTATGCCATAGCAAGCATGGTGCTAACACCGGCATGAAGTCTGAAGTTTTTTCTTCCTCGACATGAACATGGCGTGCTCACTGTTTAATTTTTTTTCTCTGCAACATTGTTTAGTTCAATAAGTAGTAGTACTTGGCTGAGTTTATTCTGACCCTTCTGCCAATACTTGTCTCACCCACTGTTCAAAGTAGAACATTCCTCAATTCCCAGAATGCATTTCTCTCACCGAAAGTTGTGAGAAGGATCCTATTTAATCTCCGTTGTGAAATCCTCCAATGGTGAGCATAGCCACGTTCTGTTGGTAACAAGAACTTCTGATTTCAGCCAGGAGAGCTGACAGTCCAGCTCTCTGTATTTAAATAAATGATAACTCCATTCACCTTACTATTCTGACAGAAATGGTGTACTTGACCGACTCGTGGTCAAGTAGCAATTGTGTGCTTTACATGACTGATGATGATGTCAAATATCTCGGTAAGGAGACGGCGCTGGTGATTATGAATCACAAATTTGATGTTGATTGGTTGTTTGGCTGGGTAATAACAGATCGGTACAAGTTATTAGGGGTGAGCATATCTCTTTAAATTCATGCCATATCTTTAATCCTTCATTAGCAGCAAGTTAAGCAAAATTGGACGTTTGTGACTCTCTAAATGCAAAGCATTCTGGATAAAGCCATATATGAGCATTAATTCATGTTTTCATTTCTGGTTTTCATTTTTGTTTTGATTGGAAATCATTTTTTGTTTTCAACTAACAGACTGGTCCACTAATCAAGCTGTTTCCTTTTTAACAAAATAGACAAACTTTAATTTATCATAAATTTTGATTAAGACCTGTATAGCCATTATGGCCATTTATTTGAAAATTAACCCCAGAAAAATGATAGAAATGTTGCAACAACATATGGGTACTGAAAGTTGATGTTGTGGGCGATGCAATACCCAGAATCCTTTGCGACATGAAGAAAATCGCTGTCCGCTGATGCTAAACTTGTATCGTGTTGACTTGGTCCTTATGGGGAGGAATATTTTACAATGTATTTTTGTTTTGTTTCTATAACAAGTTTACCAAATTTTGACAATTGGATTTTCACGGTACAACTAAGAAAACTGAATTCAAACTGTGTACTAGTAGCAGCTTAATACTGTAAGTTTCGCAATTTATTGACGTATGTGAGCTCTTGTGAAAATCACTCTGGCTTCCTGTCTAAAAGCGACCGTTTTACAAAATGGCATTCATGCATCTGCTAACAAAAAAGGCATTGCAGGCGACAAGAAACGTAATATGAGGTAAATTGCTGTGGTGTTTGTCTCATCCACCATCTTCGCCTATCCCATCTTGGAAACTCGTGGGTCAAGTGCGTTAATCAGTGCTTTGTCTCATGAATCAATACTTGTAAAACTACCTTTTAAAGGACCCCAGTGAAAATGTATATTCACTGCGACTAAATTTCATAATTTCGGCAAAAGTTGTTTTATTACAGTATTTCCATGTAATGTGTAAGGCATTGCATATTAAAACAGTACATTGTTTTTTTGATGCCAGCCCTAAGGACCAATCAACACCTCTATGGACCACAGTCATTCTCTACATGTGGGAACACTTCCAACTTGTACTCAATTACTTCTATACACAGTTACTTTATAAAACAAATATGTCACATTCAAAACTTTCCTTAAAGTCTCTCCTTTTTGTTTCCCTTAATTTTCACTATGCTTTATTTATTTAAAAATGACTAAAATGTGTTGTTTCTAAGTTTGAAGTGATCCCATCTCATGGCTTTGCACACCTTAATGTATTAAATATAGTTTTTTGTTTGTTTTTTCATTTTATTATTCTTTGCAAGGTTCATCTGTTTGTTTCTCTCCTCTCTCCTCCTTGCCAATAACTTCCTCTCCTACAGTATCTAGCTTATGATGGTCTGAGAATATTGTATTTGAAATATTCTTATTTCTCTAAAAGTTTCATGTTCTGTAATTTATAGTTTATAGATCACTCAAGTTTAGACAATGTCAATAAAATAAGTGTATGCTCTGACCCCCTCTCTCAGTTGCCTGTCTTCCCTACAGTATAGTACGAATGGAATCATCCTAAATTATATTCCCAGAATGCATTGCAGCATCACCATATTTTGCATACTGTGACTGTAGTCTGCACTTTCAGCATTCAAGGGATTTTGTGATTTTCTTTTTCTTTACTGTTATTAGGGTGAGAGAGTAAGCATGTCGGAGGGGTGACTCAGGAATCTCTTCTTGGCCTTATTAGTACTAGTATTTGAATTCTACATTTGAACATGTAAATTTATCACTGACGTTTTTTTTCTTAACATGGGATAATCATATGTGAAAAAATTGTGTAAACTGTTTAATTTTCCCTGTCCCTTAGACCAGAAAAAAGTATGGGAGGAACATTCTCTGTTATCGGATGCATCACAGTGCGTTCATCTTAGTTGTTATGAATCTTAATAGCTCCAATGTCAGCTGTGTCATGCCCCCTCCCTCCCTCCCTCCCTCCCTCCCCTTCCCTCAGACCACCATTTCCTGTTAGAGCTATATACTAATAAATTATATTCCAATATCAAATAACATAATTTCCTTGCATTCAATTTTTCTTTTTACATTTTTTAAGAGTTCTGAACTTTTTTACTAATGCTGGCTGAATCCCTTATTGCAATTTCAATCTTATGTTATATATACAATGCTCTATATAATAAAATGTCTGCTCTCTGACATCTCAAAAACCACTGGCTGGCTAACTTGATAGTTATGCATATTCATTTGAATATACCTATCTAAATGGAATTCTACAAATTACCTTAGGTTAATTAATTTGTCCACTTTTATCGTTTACATGTTTTGTTTAGTGAAAATACATTTCACACACTTCATGTCACCAAATAAATTTCAAATCTGAAATTAATGTACCGGTAATTTGAATATAATTACTGCCAATCTTTGCACGTTTTGTTGCTGTATGTTGATACAATTATATCGAAAACAATGTTAAAGATTAAATCAAAATCAGTTTTAGATTTAATCTGTGCATATTGATTAGCTGATTTGCATAAACAATTAATTGCATTTCAAATAAATATTTATATATGCCGCCGTGGAAGTTTTAGTTGAGAGCCTCTAGCTTTATTTAAATAAGATCTCTAAGCACCTCTAACTCCCAACATTAAAGTAAAATGACTAACATACACTGCATATTGCTACATGCTCAGAATATATCTCACAATTATCCTTCAAATTATTGTGGAACACCTTTGGGGCGGGGTGTATAGACAGACAGTTGTGTTGCTTCGTTGAAACCCAGAGTCACTGTCCTCTATCATTATTTTCTGCATACACTTCAAATAACTTATTTTTTAGACTTGTACCTTTATGAATGTAATGAAAATTGAAATTAGTCAACATACTTGCCTTAAAGATTGACAATACTAGGACATATTGTGACCATACTTTACTTGTCTCTCTGTCCCTTCCAAGCCAGCATCTTGAAACAAGCCCTGAAATGTATTACTTGTACAAACTATGCACACATAAATATCTGTATCAGGTGGGGAATATATTTATGAGTGTATTTGGCTGAATGAAGAAATACTGCGACAGATTGATAGCGTGACTAGCAATAGGAAATTTGGGTTGTAACAACAAATTTTGAATGAACATTTAGGGAACAGATTCAATAGAAGTTGATGAAACTCTGTAAAGTGTTTTAAGACACTGAAGATAGGGATCAAGGAAGTGGTCTAGGTGCTGCGATGCATCATATGAAGAGCTGGAAAAGTTTATGGGTTACAATTTGCTGCTGTGATTGAAACTTAATTGACTACATTAACTGTACTTTTTCACATAAAAATTATTTAAAAGCGAAAATAGCAAAATTAAAAAACCAACGAATTATGCGTTTACAGTACCAAAGATAGATACATAAAGGTTTACTGTACAGTGTTTAAAGAGTTTTATTTTAATAGCTTCGCTCATTTCTTTTTTCATGATCAAACCATTCCATGGTTAACAAGGTAATGTTATCATTTAATTCAAAGTTAAAACATGGAACTCTCAAAAAGCGAGATTATCATTATATATTGCATTGTTACCAATATATTTGTATTTCTATTTTTGGTAATATTGTTTTGTCAACTATCAATTCCATTGATGTGTAATAGTCTATGTAAACACTTTACATCCCAATGAATGCAGTCCTCGTAATTGACTATTGACTAATTGACCGCCCGTTAGTTAATCAATGAATATGAGTGTGCTTCTGGTGTCACTGTAAACGCATAGCATTATCTTCTCTCTAATACTCAGTTTCGTTCATATTGAAACAATTTTGTAGGCTCTTAATCTTGACAAAATAATCTGATCTTACTTGAGTAGAGCTTGTTTGTGTCAGTCCTGGAACAGTGACTCAAGTGTTTGTATCAAAACTTGTTTTAAAATGTAATGCCTTGTTTACTGAGCAGCAAGTAGACCTGGGGGGGGGGGGGGTCTTGATATTGCATCGCAGTACAGCCACAGAAAAATACAACAACATAATTTGCCACTGTTATTGTTATTGAATTTACTCATTGCCTGTTGATACTGGTTTTTTTTTCATTCATTCTGTCTATTCATGGAAGCTTTTGGCAAACGATGAGACAACAATATTCTGAGCAGTGGCTTGATGCAGCTGTATTTCGTTATGTTAATTATTGGCTACAACATGATAATTACCATTTAATTAGTAGTATACTAAAACTATGATATATATATATATATATGATTATTACTTTAACAATATCTGTCTTCACTTTCTGTCTGTCTGTATGCTCTGTTTTGTGACTTCGCTTCATCATGTGATTTAAGGTCAATTTGTATCACTAATCATGTTATCATGCTTTGCTCTTGCTGCATGCATCCCATAATACTTCTTTCTGTACTGCTGCCGTTCGTCAATCACACACCTCACTGCTGATCGCTGCAACACAGGTAGGTGTTCGTTGCTCGTCGATTATTTTTTTATAAGTATAGTTCCATGTATTGGTAAGTACTGCAGGAGTTAAAAGCAGTTTATTGGAAAATTCACAAAGTGCAATATTGAAATGGTTGGATATTCTGATCTCTCACCTAGACCCTCATGACCCTTGGTTATTGGTGTCCCTGAATAATTCTCATGAGGAAAAACTTAGCTTTACCGTATTTGGTCTATCGGTAGTATGGTAGTACAATGTGCATTCACTTATGTAAATGAATTTATGGTCAAAATAAGTCATATTTTTAATAATCCAGTATATTATAAATATAACTGCTGGTTCACATGTGTTAATATCAGAGATGTGCTTCTAATAGAGAAAATACTGCACAATGCTCTGCTAAAAAGCTGCATATCTATTTTTATTTTTGGCTTCTTTATGACAATTTGGGATTTTTTCAGAACCTTCGCACGATGAAATTAAGTAGTTATTCATCTATTGTATTTGTTCTATTAGAAGCGCATCTCCAATATAAATGCACATATGCCAAAAATTGCATATAAATTATGCTGGGTCTTTGCAATATTACTTTTTATTTGGGTGATATTTCACTGTGAAAAAAATTATTTAATGACCTCTAGGTGCGAGGTTGAATATGAATCCAAAATTTTGATGTATATAGACAATGCATGTTATGATATCAAGGTAGGTAATAGACGAGACGCAATGCAGTCTGTTGATATTTGTCAACCGACATTCTGTGTACAATCAGGTCTTTTGGTTTAGTACGTCTAAGAGTTTTATCCCTGGTAAAGCTTTCAAATTTGGTTCATTTCAGTGCAGAATTAAGCATTTTTTTTTACTGTACAGAGAGAAATTATAAAAAAAAAAATATTTTCAAATTTGCCAGCCTACAGACCTGTATGTATACACTACTCTTATTATTGTAATTAAAATTATCAAGATGTATAATAAAATCATTTTAGTTTTTATAGTTGCTGAATTGTATAAATGTATGTTTAATGTGTTTCCCATTGTATGTGCCAACATTATAATTTTGTCTTGCTTTTTGTGGCATGTTTATCACAAACTTTCATGAATTGTGTTTGTGTTTTCTTTACAGTAAATTAACATATATAATCACGAAATAATTTGATATTCAAATTAATCTTTGTTCAGTTTTAAAGCGTAATAGTCATCATGTGAAGTATACTGTGTGTATTCTTATTCATGCGGCATGCGAGAGTCTAAGGCCGTCATTTGGTTCTAAAATACTGTACTGCTTGGAATTTATTTTCGCTGAAGGGATGATTCCGTGAAAATAAAATCCAGCGAATATACTTTTTTTCCTATATTTCACATTAAACTCATCAAAAATCAGTGAAAATAAATTTCAAGCAAAACGCCCAAAAAGCCTTTTCAGCGAAAATTAATTCCAGCGAAAATAAAGTATTCCACAGTAGGCATCTCGGACAGTTGTCATTTTACAGTCGAAAAATGAAATAATTATTATCAATTTTTACACATAACAAAAAAATATTCAACATATAAATAATTGTATAAATGAAATATGAACACATAATGCGCTATGCATATGACTGGCGTTTTAAACATGATCGCAAATTTTAAAACGTCACCTATGATTTCGTATTCTAGTCTGTTCCCCTCAACACTGTTGTCCAGTTATACACCAATAATAGTGTATCTGTTCTTAGCACTGCATGGCCACTGAGTTGATGTTGTCATGTGACCTTCTCCAATCCACTTTGCGTAGTGTTAGTTGCTTTTACATGTTAGTAAGACTATGACCTCTGACGTGTTTGAAATTTTTTCATATTGACTGATTTAAATGGGAAATTACATCACTTGCATAATATTTGCCATAGAGGGCGTACTTTGAATTGACAGTGCTAATCTCTAAATCGTAGCATTCAAGTAACAGGTGTCAAAATAGTGCGAATCAATTTACTGGGTATGAATTTGTTAACGTCCCCTCAGAGTATAAGTAATACAGGCATATAATATATTAGAGATGAATTAGCGATATCAGGTAAAAATGTAATATTAGAGAAGCGTAAAATAATCAAGTAGTGTGATTCATTGAGTGACCATTAATTAAATTTTTTTTCATATCTGAGTTGCTGTGATTGTAAGTGCATGTTGATTGTATTCTTTGAAAGACTTAGGTTCATTCATCGTCAAGGCAGCCTGCTACAATTTTCACTGTTATATGTGCAAATTTACCTTAAGTTAAGGGGTACATATTAGCATATAGGAATCAGTGGTGGCTGAAAATTATTTCTAGACAATCCTTAGCACATATTTTTTGTTGTCTCTTAAAATCCACTTCAAAATTTTCATGTATTTCAATTATATAGACATATTGTTTATTTTATCTTTTTTTCAGTTTAAAATTGTTGTTGCATACTCATTCATTATATATAATTTTTCTGCATATATTTGAAATTTTGAGTATTCCTCCAAAAAATTACCTTTGGATTTACTCCTGAATTAAAAATGTTTAAAAAAAATATGTTCAGTCTGACACATGTCCAATCAGGTGATGCTTTAGTTAAAAACTTCTTTTCTGCGATCTTAGTTTAGTACCGGCCAATCTGATTGGTCAGCTGTGAAATACTGTCAAAGATTGATTGGGCAGTTTCTCTGTCATTCTGAATATCTAGGAGTAATTTAGTACTAGTAAATAGCCATGTAGGAATACACACAACAGAAAAATATATTAGTTATGTCATATTTACAATATTCTTGTTACATCCCTTTTTTGGTTGTCATGTCAACCCAATTTACATATTTTTGTCTTCATCTTTTAGGCATCTAAAGTGTTTGCAAAGAATTCGTTGAAGTATGTTCCATTTATCGGCTGGTCATGGATATTACTTGAGATGATATTTCTCCGAAGAGATTGGAATCGAGACAAACCGTACCTGATTGAGCAGCTCAAGGTTCTAGCGGAGTATCCGCTGCATTGCTGGGTGAGACATCATTATGCATAGATAATACGGCAAATTTCTACATATCATCACTAATCCTTGTGTCATGTGATTAATAGATAATAGTTTCGAATTATAGGGCAATCAGTCAGTTTCTGTGCAAAAATGGTGGGTTCATATCTAGGTCGCAGGTTTCCCTAGTTTCCAGCATTCTGATTAGCTATCGAATAAACATTCGTTAGAAAATAGGAAATTGTCACATATTTACAACAGAGAGTGCAAGTTTCTAAAGTAACAGCGAAACTTGTCCATTCATGAATACTTTCGATTGGCACAAACAAATGAGTAAACAAAAACTAAAATAGTGACAGTCGTATTAATAATTTCTGATTTTCGTATTCATGGCTAACTATTGTCACATTTCACTAAATAAACAAAATGTTTGTTGCATCTTCCAGAAAAAAGTATCAACACCTATAGATAATGTTGCATAATATTAAATTCCAAAATTGGAAGGAAAACAAGATTTGCAATTTTAAAAAAATAAAAAAGGAAGAAGTATTTACCACCTTATTGCAATGTTGGGTTCATCATGAATAAAAAAACAAAACAGAAAAAGTGCGAACCATGTATTGTTTGTCATACACTGAAACTTGTACAAGTTTTTAGCTCCACTGCCAACTTTGTCAAGCAGAGCTTACCATACGAGTGATTGCCTGCCGTCATCTTTTTACTTTTTCGATTTCTTCTTCAAAACTACTTATTGCTTTGATACTTACCGGTAGTGTATATGTATCTTCGGCAGAATTCTCTCAGATTTGTTCATTTTCTAATGATATCTTTAGTTCTTTAATTGAAATATGTATTGCTAACAACGGAGCTATCTCAGCTGAGAGACTGCTTGTTCTCATAAAACATGTATGGCCCTTTTCTGAGCCACGACACAAAGAATGAACTACTTTACTAATCACAATTTTGATGCAAAGAGTCTCTTTATACAAGCATTATTTTAATAAACAACATCAGGGAGGACTTATGCCTTGGAAGGTGTGGTAAATAAATTCAAACATGAATTATCTAATCTTGTTGACTATATGTAATTTTCATGGCCAGCTCTCACAATACAATTGACATTTAGTGTCTGGAACAAAAATATTTTATAAATATTAAATGTTAAAAATGGCTTTTTTGTATTTATTAGGTGTGTATTGTACCTTGAATTTTTTCTCTTGTATTTCCATTTTAGACACTTCTTTTTTGTGAAGGAACTCGGTTCACAGAGTCAAAGAAAGCTCGTAGCAATGAAATAGCAAGAGCAAAAGGACTGCCAGAACTTAAACATCATCTATTGCCGAGGACCAAGGGATTTGTTGTTGTTATGGAGGCATTCAAGGGCAAAGGTAAAGAACAATTTTTATAGTTTGAGTTTTGGCCAAAGCCACTGTACCCGGGGTGAGTTTACGACATACACAATGGGAAGGCCAAAGCCACTGCACCCTGGATGAGTGTACTACGGACGCAATTGGGAGAACAAAGCCACTGTATCCAAGGTGAGTGTACCACAGACACAATGGGGAGACCAAAGCCACAGTACTCTGGGTGAGTGTACCACACACACAATGGAAAGGCCAAAGCCAAAATGTACTATCAGTTCTTGCAGCAAAGAGAGCGAGAGAGAGCTGTGACATTCATATGTCAAAATTTGTTTTCCAAAAATACAAAAATGTATCTTCTAATGCTGTTCTATTTGTTTTTATGATATTTTCAGTTCCTGCTATCTATGACTGTACACTTTCATGTTCTGCTGATTATGCCGAACCTACTATGTATAATGTGGTGATGGGCAGAAAATGTCAAGGACACATGCTTGTTAGGTGAGCCATCATTTATGTGAAGTTTAAATATATCTCAAAATGCACAGGAAAATATTTTTGAAAAGTGAAGTAGATTTCCAGCTCTCCCTTCTTCCTATAATTTTATTAGTCCCCGTTCGAACGAAGTCCGAAAACGGGGACTTATAATTCGGTCTCCGTCCGTCCATGCGTCTGGGCGTCTGTGCGTCCGTGCGTCCGTCCGGAGTCATATCTCAGAATCCCTTGGACCGATTCCGTTCATTCTTTGCTTGTGCCTAGTACTTTATGTGGGACATATGCACATGCAGTTGTTTAGCGATTTGATTCAAAATGGCCGACTGGCAGCCATCTTGTTTTTTGAAAATGTTGTATTTTGGACATGCTTTGTCAGTTTTCATTCAAACTTGGTACATAGATTATACATGTTAGGATACATGTCCATGATGATTTATTTCACAATTGGATCAAAGATGGCCGACTGGCAGCCATCTTGTTTTTGGAAAATGTAATATTTTGGACATGCTTTGTCAGTTTTCATTCAAATTTAGTACATAGATCATACATGTTAGGATACATGTCCCCGACCGTCCGTGAGTTCTTGAGTCTGTCCGTCCGTCTGTCCGTCCGTCAGTCTGTCCGTCATATTTTAGAATCCTGTGGACCGATTCCGTTCATTCTTTGCATGTGCCTAGTACCTTATGTGGGACATATGCACATGCAGTAGTTTAGCGATTCGATTCAAAATGGCCGACTGGCAGCCATCTTGTTTTTTGAAAATGTTGTATTTTGGACATGCTTTGTCAGTTGTCATTCAAACTTGGTACATAGATTATACATGTTAGGATACATGTCCATAACGATTTATTTCACAATTGGATCAATGATGGCCAACTGGCAGGCATCTTGTTTTTGTTTTTTTATGCGGTATCTTGGACGTGCTCTGTCAGTTTTCATTCAAATTTGGCACATACATGTACTTTATACATGTTAGGATGCATGTCCATGACAATGTGTTTCAAAATCTGGTCAAGGATGGCCGATTGACAGCCATCTGACTTTTTGGCCTTACTACTATATTTCCACAATTTATGTACCATTTTCATTCGTATTTGGCACATCATACATATCAGTGTGTTTCAGAATCAGATCAAAGATGGCCGAATAACGGCTGTTTTTATTTTGGCCATATTACTATGACACGAAACACGTGTTTTGATGTAAATAAACAATCTGTTGTATACGCCACTTGGAATTCAAGTTTCAAGGACACACTCGCGACAACCCCTCCGCTTTAATATGATGAGCACAAAGAGAACTTAACGGGGACTGTGTCATTTTCAATGACTTGTTTAAATTAAGAATGACCTCTTGAAACAAACTCCTGCATTAAAGCAAAGGGATAGTCACCTGTGCACATGTGAGAATTGAGTTCTAAGGGATGATATCAACACATGCTAAAAACGCAAAGGCTCATGGGTATGTGTTAATGCTTACTGTAAAACATGTTGAAAAAGCGGCATGCAATTATAGCGAATTGTGGTAAAATGACATAATAGCGAAATGTTGATTTAGCGAATCTTTCTTGTCATTGTTGATTTCTTTGTTTGGCGGCCATTTTGAATTGATAATAAAGTCATTAGCGACATCTTGAATTAGCGAATCAGTTCCCTCTCTAAATTCGCGAAAAAGACATGCTCGCAAAAAAGACATGTTTTACAGTATTTGTAAACCACACAATATGGCCGTCTATCGCATGCACAGGTGACGAATCTCCCTGTTTGACAATTGTAATTTTGTTGCTTTTTTGGGGCAAGTTTTACAGTACAATCAAAGCTGTCTCTACAAGGTTGTACTTTCAACAAAAATTCTCTGAACACCACCCTCTGTGGCATCTTTTCAATTTTAAAATGTTATTTGTTTTTTGTTTCATGAAAAGTCTTCTCATGCATTTTTTTCTCTCAGACGAATAAAGATAACTGATGTTCCTACAGATACAGAAGAAAATACTGCCAACTTTTGTCACCAGATTTATCAATTTAAGGTAGAACTTTTTTTTTTATTTTCATTCGTATAAATATGATAGTTAGATCCTAATTCTGCTCTCAGTGTACTGTCAGGTAGGCCAGGCAAACAAATAGTAATGTTTCTAGTTACGGTATCCATTGGTATCTTTAAAAAAAATAAAAAAGTAAAGAAAATACTATACGCACATGTACATCAATTTTGCAAAAACAGATTGACTGTATGTAAATACAATACGCACATGTACATCAATTTTGCAAAAACAGATTGACTGTATGTAAATACAATACGCACATGTACATCAATTTTGCAAAAACAGATTGACTGTATGTGAATCAGTAAATTTGAACATTTGTTTTGAAGTGTATTTGTATGTCAGTCAAAATCAAAGGCATAATAATTTTCATGCATCACAGCACCACATGGTAGTCAAAGATAATGAGAGTTCATACTAGTATCATGCATTGAGTGTTTTTCCAGGAAGAAGGGGTCAATGGGGGAGTAAATTGTAATTGTAATTTCTTCCTGGGCTTGGATAGTTATTAATCCAGTGATGTGATATTTCACTATTCTGCTTTATATGTCGTCCCTTTAATTATTAAATTGGTAATTTTTGTTTATTTGTATTTTTTTGTTTCAGGACAGAGCATATGAACATTTTCAGAAAAATCAAACATACGAAAATTTTGAAGGCGGCAAGTTCCATAAACATGTGATTCCAAGGCGTTATGCGTCCTTACTAATTGAGACGTTCTGGGTTTTAGTCCTCGCAGTTCCATCTTTTTATTACTTTATAAGTCTGATGATAAACGGGTCTTTATGGGTGACTGTGACGGTGTTTGTCTTCATAGTGCTGTGTAAGTAATTGTAATAATAGCATATTCATCATTTAATACAAGGTTATTACAAGAATACAAGTGATCATATTGACCAACGTCAGAGGTACATTACTTGGGGTTTGCAACGCGCATAGTACTGTATGGTGACATCATGTCAAGATCTCATTCAAGTCTCATCTTGTAGATAGCGAAACTGATGCTACGATCTTCTGACATGACATAGGCGGTTTTTAATAAAACAATAAAACATGTATTACCACATTCATAGTGAAAAAATGTAATACATTTCATACCGCAGTTCAGACAGAGATAACAAACCAAAATACACACTGTACAATACACCAGATTAGCCATGAACCATATTTAATATCTTCTTGACCTTGAGAAAAAAAATTGTGGTGGAACTAAGATTATTCTGCTGTATGATTTGATTTCTCGAAACCTAGCTGTCCTGTTCGTAATAGTGCCCTCAGTGTAACAAAACTCAATGACCCTTGAGAATACTCTCTACTGCACAGCGCCCTCTGTTGAAGAATTGATGAAACTTGCAAAATGTGTGCTCCTCAAGAATTTGACCAAAAACAATTTTTTTTTTAAATGAACACAAATATACCTGACAATTGTTGTCACATCTCTAGAATTTCAAGTAATGTTTGAATACTTGATCCATAAGAGTCACATGAACTGGGATACAGTGAACCTGGTTTGTTTATGAAACAACATCTTGTTGACTTCTTGCCATTTTCATCATCAACATCAACAAGTTCTTATTAAAAAAATTATTACTATTAGTGGATCAAGTAATTAAAATGTAGAAAAATAAATGACATAGGCTGTATGCACTTGTATCAATTTAGGCATGCATTGCTGACTATTTTGGTCATAAAATGGCTCCACAAACTATTTTAAACACCATATTTCAGGCATACATGCAGGGGTTTGACCATAGGTTCATCTGCTACGAATATTTGGACTGAATTTTTTGATCATCACGGTGGCTGTCTAAACTTGGTCTTGGAAAACACAAACATAGGCTCCTAACATATACCGTACATGTATGCTTGGTTGGTCCTTGCCTGGCAGATCAGTTCTTCAATAAAATTTTTTGATAATAAAATCAAATGGTGGGGGTAGTTTTTTCGTTACCCAGTGTTGTGTAGTAAATAAAACTTGAAGAAATTATGTGATGAGAGTGCTATAGGCGGCCGTGTGAATGCAATATACCGGTATGTGCAACAGGTTGAAAGGAAGCCCCTGGTCTGGTTGCATTCCCCTTATGTGAAGGCATATCAAAGGGGATATATCTGTTATGATATTCATAAAATACAAACACACAAGAGCTATGTAATCTCACAGATATCTATTTTTTTTGCAGCTGTTCTGTTGATACGTGCAATGATTTCTGTAACAGACAGACATCAAGGATCCACCTATGGAAAAGTAGCTCAGAAAGATGAAAACAACGGTATTGTTATGAATGGCAGTAATAAGAAAATACAATAGACTTGTATTATAGATAACTATAGATAGAAGTTTTTAAAAATGGTTGCCATGATGTTATGTTGGCTACATGGATAACTTTTTCTGATTATGAGATAAGAACTCTTAAAGAACAATTTTTAACAAATTGTCAGGATTTGTTTGAATAATTACAAAACTATGTTACAATTACTCTGCCAGTATTGCTGAATTTCAAAATAGCTGCTTTGCATAATTATTGTCAACATGGCAATCATGATGTAATTTGCATACTTGGCTAACTTATTTGCATATAACAAATATAGAATTATTAGCTTACATTTAAAAATGGTGTTTTGCTGCTTTTATTGACTTATTTTCATATTGTTTTAAGGTGGTAATTAGCTTTACCGACCGATTTTCCTGAAGCAAGGTTTGAAACAAAAACTATGCAAACAAATTACTTGTTAAATTGTTTTTACATTAATGCTAAGCATTTCTAATACATGCAATGTACCATAACATAGCGGTATCTATAAACACACATGACTTACCACAACCAATCATACTGCTTGTTTGGTTGTCACATGACTCACACCAACCAATCATAATTCACGTTTCATTGTCACATGATTCATCACAACTAATCATAGTACTGGTTTGGACATCACATGGCTTTACAACCAAGCATCTTAATGAAATTTGTCATGTGAGCTGCCCAATGTTGTGGTATAGTTCGAATGCATACAAATGAGTCGTCTGTGTGCCATAAAAATTAAATTCCGACTGCTGAGTTTTATTGGATATGTTTTACACTTTATGTATATTGCATTTTTTTTTTAAATTGTATAAATATTTTTAATTTAAAAAAGCAAAGTGATAGCTGTGACAAGTCTTTTAAATGCCGATAGTTCATCAACTCTTTTGATCGTTTTTTGTTTTTGCTTTTTCACTATTAAGAATGTCAGCTCATTACAAATACTGGTATTTCTCATTATTTATTTCTAAGCAAATCACATTGCATAAATTAGTGGTGTGTACTAAATGAATACCAACAAAACCAGTTCCATCTAGTTATTACCAACAAGCAAATTAGACTGCTATATAGTCAACAGTCTTGTTGCTATGGTCATTTCAGTTGGAGTGATTTTGCTGTTAGTTTTTGGGTCAGCTTGAGAGAATACCTGCCTCTATCTATCTGTAGGAGTCTTGCTGATAGTATTTTGCCAAACCAGAGGGCGGCAGGACTGTTATATATCTTTCTGACTCAACTGAGTTGAAAAAAAATTATCATGTTTTAAAAGTTAAGTGGTATATAATTATTAATTTAGACAAGTCTTTCAGGATAAAATGTATAATTATTGTTTGAAAAAATGACAAAAATGGACCATTTTGAAATTTTTGTTGCAATTCATGTTGAAGCATTATTCATGAAAAAATAAATGTTTGTTAGATTTTGGGACAGACATATGTACCAGATTAATGGCTACATCTGATTTTTTTTTTACCATGCATATACGTACAGACGTAACAAAACTACCAGTAATTTTAAAGTTATGCTGACGAAACCTTTTTACTATAGGAATCAAAGGTAACTAGCACAGGAATTGCCATGGTTGTATGACAAATTGTTTGTACAAAATAGTGATCAAAAGCATGAAATTAGGTCTTATGATAAAAGCCACATAAATCTGGTGAAAAGTTTTAATTGTGGCCAAATACTTTAGTGTATGAAGCCGGTAACTGGACAGGGTGGTGAGAATTAGCATAACTTGTTTGCTATGAATTTCATTTTGAATCCTGCCTTATTTGGAATTCATATTTCCTAATAAGGTAGTGATGTAATTTACACACATTGGCTATGAAAAACACTTTTAATTCAATATTCAAAGATTCTAATGTGAATATTAATCTAACCAACGATTCTAGATTTGTTGCAACTTGTGTGATAAAGATCTGAGGTCAAGGGTCGCATAATTATATTTTCATTGGTTCCTATTCATATTAGCATAATCATTCATGAACTATAAATCTAGAAATTGAGATTATAAATGAAGTCCATGTATATGTGAGCATTAGAGCTTAAATCGGGGGAGTTGTCACTTGCGCATGCATAAGATGGCCATTGCATGTCATTGTTTACCCATGAGCCTCTGCGTTTTTAGCATGTGTTATTGTCGCTTGGGACTCAATGTATGCGCAGGTGAGGACTCTCCTGCTTTAAGCTTCACAGTTGTTGCTAAAGTAAACAATGTATTTTGCTCAGATTGTATACGTTTCGTGGGACACATTAAACATGACATGTTGGATTCTTCAATATTGCCAATAACAGTATTTTATATAGGTATTCAGGCTAATAATATAGCAGGGAGATATTTCAGAATTCATGCTGTTTTCATGCATAATCTTATTAGTATGCAACATGTACAGAATGTATGAGAAAAAAATCATGTCTAATTCAAGGGCTATTTTAAGCTGTATAATACTTTTTTTTTGCTTGGAATTTATTTTTGTTGACACTGTAGATCAGCAAAGATTGAATCTAGTTACAATACTTATTTTCTCCAGTGGTGACTCACTACAACCAATCATAGTGCTCATTCCAACTAAAATAAAGTAGTCTACAGTAAGAGACCTTGGATGCAAATGGTGGCAAGACACAAGACTTGTTTTCGCCCTTCAAATACTTTTCTTCCATCATAAAGTCTACTGTTCCGAATATTATGATTACATAGAAAGAAAGAAACATTTGAAGGGCAAAGTCAAGTCACATGGTTATCCCATTCTCAGCGAGATCTTGTAGCGATTTGCATCAAAGGTCAACTTAGATCAATACAGGGTAAACTGATCTGATTCAGGATTTTGAAACAAAACTATGTTCACTATTAAAAAATCCTTATTGTTGTAATTTGTTGGCTTCTTGCAGTTTGTTGTTTGATTAAAATTTTACTGTTAAAGCAAAACTTGTTCAATCGATTTATTTTAAAAAAGGGCCGAAATATTATAAGAAAAAAAAATTGTATTGTTTGAAAGGTTGAATTATTAATATTATTTATGTTAATGTGATTGTGAAATCACTGATGCCAATGGAAGTAATTTTTGTTTAGAAGAAAGTGTGAAACTTAAAAAAAAAATCAAAAACTCAAAGGTGTAACTAGTTTTATTTCTTGACCACATGAAAAAAGATCATGATGGCTTGATAGAATCTCAATGTGCCCATTTCCTGCCAAATGGTTGAATGTATTTTTCGCAAAAATGGGGTAGTCCATCACCCTCCTATCTGAAACTACAGCATTGATGGTACTAACATTTTTTTCAATACAGGAAATTAGAATTCTCACTTTGGGAGTGAAATTCAACTGAGGTTGATTTATCCCAATAAAGTCGTATTGAAAAATTTGCTTGCGTCTTCATTATCTCTCGCTATTCAGCGATATCACACACCCCGGGGTCTTTCCTGCCCAGTGAAAAGATGTTGCGTATTGATTAAAGCAATGTATTCGTCTGTTTACATCGGTTACCATAACAGCCAATGATTGATTCCTATATGGATTTCCAATTATGAGAAGGTTGTTATAAAATCCAATAAAACTCTCTCACATATGCCTTTAACAAGAATGCCCTTCAGTGTGCAATAACCAGGACATCAAATTTAAACGATATCTCAGTCGTTTGTTAAATCATTCGTAGCAATTTTAACTGCTCATTTGTACATTTCTATTTTTACCAAGTTATTTTTCCCTGTATAAGAGGGCTTAAAACTCTATAAATTAAATCTTTAAGAACAATTACAATAGAACTGGTAAAAATCTATAAATTTAAAAACCAGTGAATATGATTAAATATTGATAGAGTGAAATTAAATATTCGTGAAAAGTAATGCTTTTACAGTAAGTACTACAGGAGATTCTAGAAATACAATTTATAAATTCGGTTTGATGTAATTAAAACTGGTGAAAAAAAATTGTGTTTTTGAGGACAAAATTTCATCATGGTTTTGGACTCCCTATCTTGTATTAAATTGTCTTTTCTGTGCAAATGATTAGATAATTCACAAGTACATGTATTAATAAGTTTTATCAACAATGGCCTGTACATGCAAACTCGGTGAATTTTTTTTCTCACTAAATAATTTTTTTTGTCGCACTGTGTTGTGCATTTCGCAGTTTAATATATCTTGAAGGGGAAGTTACACCATGTGGCTCTATACACAGTTTTTTATAACCAATAATTATTGTACTGTGGTCCTATAACTGAGAGCGCCAAATAAAAATCAACTATCGCAACCTGCAGCAACACAAATCTGCATAATTTATTCCATATTTTTTTTTTTTTTTTTAATTTTGGCATAAACTAAAATAAACTTTATATAAAATATTGCTACACCAAACATTTAGACATTTTTGTGGGAAGGACTATGGCATTTAAATCTACACTTTAAGTTGCAATTGTGATATTGTATTTCTACAAACAAGCCATGCGGATTGCTTCATTTACATGCGCTTTACTTATTTATTAGTAAATATCAGAATCTCATAAAATAAAATGATATTTATCATTAAACACAGAATAATGCATAAATAAATTAAGCAGTTTAATCATTTCAATAGTACGTTTTAATTTTATACATATTTATTTTATTTTTCTCTGATGGTTATAATGCATAATTTTTTCCAGATTTTTTAGTGGGTAAAATCTCTAATTGATCTTTATACTGAATAAAATGAAATAAAAAATATATCATCCTCGTAAAACACTTTTAAATTCCGAGTACTGCTAAGTGCAAATTTACTACACCAGGCGAGAACTGAATAGGACATCCTAACAGGATATAACAACTAATTGCAAGGTGAGGAGTTGACTGTTACAAACTCTGGGGCAGAAAAAAGAATTAAAGCTAATATATAAATAAAAACACGTTTGATAAAAGTTAAAAACAAATTTAAGAAAAACAAATAATTTTGCAGTATTTCCACCACCACTCTTTCCTCCCATAATGCATTGTACATTATCTTAAAAGCATACTGTACACAACAGTAAAATAT